TTGCCATTCTGTGCCCAAAAGAAATATGGTGGTCAGTTAGAAATGGATATCCATGATAACAAAAATGGCCATACGCTCCCATATAACCATAATTATGGTGACACTTTCGTAAAAACCTACCTCCATTTTCATCAAAATGTATTATCCCTATTATTATTTGTATTCTCTTATTATCACTTTATTGGTTAATGTTATTATCATAAGCATTATTACTATTAATATCATTATTATTGATGTTGATGTATTTATTGCTATTATTATTATCATTATTATTTGTTTAATTATTATTGAATGGAATTGAATCCCTTTTCTTCTGCAAAACATGCAAATCACATTAGTTTTCAACTATACAACATACACAAAATATAAGAATTAAAAATAGTGTATACACAGTAAAATGATGATAGAAATGTTGACATTAAAACGAAATGTGTTACTCATAACACAATATCCAGAATAATTCATTAATACATCTGAAGAAGATGAGGGGCTATCACAATAAACGTTTGCTTGATAGCTTGATTACTATTACTCTTAGTAGTATTTTCATTATTATTATTATTATTATTATTATTATTACTATTAATATCATCATCATTATCATCATTATAATTACCAATGTTCTGTTGAACCTTACAGTAGGTACACATGCGGTGATCCATTCTGTCCATTTTTCCATTCTAAAACATTCCCGCATTTTTCTCGCCGGAAAATTGAAAGAGTTCTAAGCCTTGATCAAGTTTGTTATCATATCCAATGTAGGAGAATATTAAACCACTCCCATTCTCAAAAAGGGTGTTAATTGGTGTCATTTTCCCACCAAATGTTCAGATGATCAGCTCTTGGCTTAAGATCGGGTTGGATAAGGGTCTTGAGGTGGGCGACAACTTGGTGTCGATTTCTTATTGTTTTGTTCAATCAGGTCAAGTCCGGATACGGAATAGAAATACATTTAGAGTTCAAATTTATTTGAGCCTCTCCATAAAAAGAGGTTAAAATAATATTATAGCAAAAAAGAATGGACCAATAGTGTCGTGGTCGAGTGGTTTAAGGCGCTTGACTTGAGATGCGAAGGTCGAGGGTTCGAATCCCGACCCAGCACTAATATCTTTTGGCAAGATATTTACCTGCACTTGCTACTCTCCACCCAGGTGTTAAATGGGTACCCGGTAATATGTGACCGTCATTGTTGATAATACTGTTCACACCGAGTTCAAAAAACGCATGGTTGGACCTGCTGCTTTTAATATTCTGCACGTATAGCATGGTCAACAACAACAAGAACGGCAGCCGTCATTGTTGGTCAAACAGTTTTTGAACGTCAAGTAACGCCTGGCCGGAATGCTCCCCAGAAATGGTACAGTCAAACAATACAATGTAATAAACAAACGACGAAGAAAAATGCCAAAACATAACTTCCCAAGCAAAATATAGTAAGAAATAAAATATATAGGACAGGTAGTAGAGAAAGAAACTAGTATTTATAGCAACAGAATTGTGTGAAGTAACTACAAATAAATTAAATGTATCGACACGCTCTATATGGTCACCAAGGTCTCAATATAAGTTTCATATTCTACCTACAACAAAAACAGCATGATCTACAATGATCTAGGTTCATATGCTTTCTGTCAAATGTTTCTTAAACGAAGACAATACATCACAGTAACGTAACGTCAATGGTAACACTTTATACAACGCTGAACCTCTATAGACAAAGGTTCTTTTTACAATAATTTGTCCAGTTTAGGAAGGGCAAGATTATATTGACTTCGAAGTGTATAATTTATTAGCTTTAAAAGAAAAATGTTCATCCACATAGTTAGGAGTCGGGCCATGCAGTAATTTAAACATCATAATGTGCATGTGTTTAGAACTTAGTAGGAATAAAGTGTCTCATATTATTGGTATCATGCAATTGTTAAATGTAGGAGGCGTTGTCCAGCATCAAGCACCGTTTCTTTACTTCTCTCATTTATTATGATTCATGTTTTTACCTGGATTTTTGTAATTTGATTAGATTTCTAATTTTGGATCACGCATATAGTTCATTGGCTGGTATGGATAATAATGATTACATTTGTGGAGGCTGTTGTGGATTCATACTCAGTATCTGTTGATATAACATTTCAGACTCTACTTCAAGTAATGTAGCAATGTGCGGTAAGATGATATATACAGTGCGTCCCAGAAAAAACGAAACCGAGAATTATCGATGTTTTATAATAACTTAATCACATTTATAGTTAGTAAATGACACATATTTTTAAAGCTTAGATCCTCCTCATTAACTGTCTATCTGTCTATCTCTCTCTGCCTCTGCCTCTTCCTCTTTCTCCCTTTGTCTCTCCCTCCCCCTCTCTGTTTCTCTCTCTCTCTCTATTTTTCTCTATCTGTCTCTCCCTCCACCTCTTTCTCTTCTGGTGATGTTTTTCAGTACAACATTCTTTAATTATCTGCTATTCTCACTGTGACCAATAATACCTAAAGGGCCTATCACACTGAGCGGCGAATGCTTGCGAACGTAGCGAATTTGGGGTTTCGCCAGAGTTTGTAAAATGTTGTAAAAGGTTGCAAGAAAGATCGCAAACAGTTTTCTTTGTTGTAAACAGTTTTTCTTGTCGCAAAGAAATTGTGAACATGTTCAAAATTTCTTTGCGAATTTATTTTTCCGCAAACGTTTGCAAACAGTTGTAAGCGTTTGCAAAACAGTTGCAAGTCTTTGCAAACGGTTGTTAAACGGTTTTGCTCTTTGTTTTCGTCAGTTCCCTGTGTTTCGCCAAAGCTAGCGACCACGTTACCATATGGTTCCTTTATAAAATCGACCCATTGAGTACCAGTAGTTAGCAAAAGGTCTTAAACGTTCACAAATAGTGGCAAAGGATTGGCAAATAGTTGCTAATCTTCGCAAAAACTGTCGCTAACATTTGCTTACAGTCGCTAATAGTCGCCAACTGCCTTTCGCAAAAACTTTCGGAGACATTCGCTCAAATGTTGCTAATTGTCGCTAAACGTCACTTAATGTCGCTGATTTTCGCCAACATTCGTCAGAAAAGTTGGCGAATCCAAATTCGCAACGTTCGCAAGCATTCGCCGCTCAGTGAGATAGGCCCTTAAAGACTTCAAATATTTCTTCATGTGCAATATGTACTGTGCTCATGTCACACTTGTGATTAGCACACTACCGAGACTCCAATTTTAATACTCTTTATTACTTTTTAATACTTATTATATCATCTAAATAGAATTTGTATTGCATTTTATCTCGTTTTGTCCTATCTTACAGTTAATTGAGTTCACGTATCTGTCTACATTTTATGTGCCTATGACAATTATTCTCTCAGTAACTAAACAGAAGGCCTTAATTTCTTTATCTTTTCTCATAAAGCTTCAATCCTTTTTTAATGACTCTATTGTCAGTACACTCACCTGACATGCTAGCATGGGAGGCGCGATAGCTCAGTCGGTAGAGCAGTGGTCTTATAATCCCGTGATCCGAGTTCGAAACCAAGGCGATGCGCTAGTGCCCTTTGGTAAGGCCTTAATCCTCATTACCAGGTCCCTCAGAGAGGACCTAAATCCGTCGGCCGTCTGGTTGCTAAATTACAAGCATTTATGCTTTCTTAGCAGTCAGGTAAAATGACCACCATCATTCATTCATTCATGCTAGCAATATACTGTTTTTGTATTATGTCGTGTTGTTAATGCTTTTGATGTTTTGATGTGAACATTTATATATATATATATATATATATATATATATATATATATGTTTTTGAGTGTCTTTTTATGTTATTTTATGAAGTGGCGTACGCAGGATTTTTTTCAAGGGGGGAGTTTTAAAGTTGGATTGCATCATTAATGTGACCACGCGAAATATATTTGGTGGAGAATCAGCCAGCCGGTGATTAAGCGGAGGGGAAGGCAAGGAGGACGGAGGGGGGGGGGGGAGTATTTATATATATATTTTTTTACTCAACACTCAACAAACATAAAAGGAAAAAGGAAAAACTTTTTTATATTTATTTTTTAGAGGCCAGGGGGGGGGGGGGGGGAGGGGATCTTGGCCCCCGGGCCCCCCTCCCCTTGATCTGCCACTGACCGAAACATTGAGGGGGGTGTTTAACCCACCAAACACCCCATGCGTACGCGCCTGATTGTATGTAGGATGTAAACTCGCATCTTTAATCTTTGGCCTTTTTGACGAGATTTAATAAAACCTTATTTGAACTTTGGTTGTCTACACCATAGATATGATAAAAAAAAAAAACGCGTAATGTCTTATTTATGGTACATTAAGTTGTAAAAAAAATCCAACTTTATGAGCAACAGGTTATTTCTTCTTGAGTTGTAAATATAACGTGGAAATATCCTCTACCAGGAGGGAGAGAGGGAGGGGGGGGGGGCTCGCAGTAAGGGAACAGGAGTCATCATTCATATGAGTAATCATAGGCATAAGGAAACACATTTTATAGTATGTTGGGACTGTGTGGGAAGTCTTATAAAGGGAACTTATTGAAACCCGAAAAGTTGCGAAGTCGGTATGAATACATTTGATCTTTTAGAACACAACACGGTTTTAATTTTTCAATCAAAGGTATTTTCCTGGGTTTAAACAAACAAATTATGTAGGTTGTGCATGCCTTGGTTAATGTTGATATTTGCAAAGAGTTACGAATCTAAAGTTCAAATCTGTTATCACTGCTATGCAAATTTGTCACTCATAATAAATATCTTTATCACCAGGCTTGACGATTAACTTTTTATTTGTTTAGTCGTGTGCAGTTTTGATCTACATGTATTTCGCTTTCCTGTGCACAGTTCAAACAAACCGAGCTTCGATGAAAAACGAATCTAACTCTACTCTGGGCATTCTCTGAGTACGCTGTGATGTGAAGTAATCGCAGTTTAACAGACGATCGCAAGGAAGGAATATAGGACATAATTCTCTGCGACCAGAGAACTTACTGATCCAGTGATGCCGCGAGACATTATCAAATATGGATGATGTGAATGAAGCGATTCACGATGCAGTGGTGCGGGGTAATCTTGAAGCCGTAGAAAGTTTGTTAAAACTTGGTTCAAACATAAATCAAACAAACCAAAATGGAAACACACCGTTACACATGGCACTCCGGAATGGCCAGGAGAATGTCATCGAGTATCTCATAAATCATGGAGCTGATGTTGAGAAGGCGACTCCAGATGGACAAACACCCTTACATCTTGCTGCATCACTCGGTCGTCTTAAAGCAGCGAAGTTTGTACTCAGCCATGAAGCTTATATGGACAAAGAAGACAAGGACGGCTACTCAGCATTATACAGCGCTGTAAGGAATGGTCATCTTGATATAGTACGATACTTTATCAGTCAGGGGGCAAACGTGAATCAGAGCAATACTAAAGGCTGGACTCCTTTATACATTGCAGCAGGGATCGGTAAACTTGATGTAGTGAAATATCTCATCAGTCAAGAAGCTGAGGTGAATAAGGAAACTAATGTCGGTGCGACTGCATTACACATTGCTGCTTACAATGGTTACCTTGATGTCACTAAATATCTCATCAGCCAAGGAGCTGAGGTGAATAGGGGAGATAATAACGGTTGGACTGCATTTCACATTGCTGCAAACAAGGGTCACGTTGATGTCACCAAATATCTCATCAGCCAAGGAGCTGAGGTGAATAGGGGAGATAATGAAGGTAGGACTCCATTTCATATGGCTGCACATAACGGTCATCTTGAGGTCATGAAATATCTCATCAGCCATGAAGCTAATATGGACAAAGAAGATAAGGACGGCTACTCAGCAATATACAGCGCTGTAAGGAATGGTCATCTTGATATAGTACGATATTTTATCAGTCATGGGGCAAAAGTAAATCAGGGCAATACTAAAGGCTGGACTCCCTTATACATTGCAGCAAGGTACGGTAGACTTGATATAGTGAAATATCTCATCAGTCAAGGAGCTGAGGTGAATAAGGGATATAATGGCGGTGCGATTGAATTACACATTGCTGCTTGCAATGGTCACCTTGATGTCACCAAATATATCATCAGCCAAGGAGCTGAGGTGAATAGGGGAGATAATGACGGTTCGACTGCATTACACATTGCTGCTTTTAATGGTCATCTTGCTGTCACCAAATGTCTCATCAGTCAAGGAGCTGAAGTGAATAAGGGAAATAACATGAGTAGGACTCCATTTCACATGGCTGCACATAAGGGTCATCTTGACGTCACCAAATATCTCATCAGTCAAGGAGCTGAGGTTAATAAGGGAGATAATGACGGTTGGAATGCATTACGCGATGCTGCTTTCAAAGGTCTTCTTGATGTCACCAAATATCTCATCAGTCAAGGAGCTGAGGTGAATAATGTAGATAATGACGGTGCGACTGCATTACACATTGCTGCTTTCAATGGTCACCTTGCTGTCACCAAATATCTCATTAGCCAAGGAGCTGAGGTTAATAAGGGAAATAACATGAGTAGGACTCCATTTCACATGGCTGCACATAAGGCTCATCCTGACGTCACCAAATATCTCATCAGTCAAGGAGCTGAGGTTAATAAGGGAGATAATGACGGTGCGACTGCATTACACATTGCTGCTTCCAATGGTCACCTTGCTGTCACCAAATATCTCATCAGCCAAGGAGCTGAGGTGAATAAGGGAGATAACATGAGTAGGACTCCATTTCACATGGCTGCACATAAGGGTCATCTTGACGTCACGAAATATCTCTTTAGCCAAGGAGCTGAGGTGAATAAGGGAGATAATGTCGGTATTACTGCACTTTACATTGCTACAGAAAAGGGTCATCTTGATGTCACCAAATATCTCGCCAGTCAAGGAGCTGAGGTGAATAAGGGAGAAAATGGCGGTGCGACTGCATTACACATTGCTGCTTTCAATGGTCACCTTGATGTCACCAAATATCTCATCAGCCAAGGAGCTGAGGTTAATAAGGGAAATGACATGGGTAGGACTCCATTTCACATGGCTGCACAAAAGGGTCATCTTGACGTCACGAAATATCTCATCAGCCATGAAGCTAATATGGACAAAGAAGACAAGGACGGCTACTCTGCAATACACAGCGCTTTATTGAATGGTCATCTTGATATAGTACGATACTTTATTAGTCAGGGGGCAAAAGTGAATCAGGGCAATACTAAAGGCTGGACTCCTTTATACGTTGCAGCAACCCACGGTAAACTTGATGTAGTAAAATATCTCATCAGTCAAGAAGCTGAGGTGAATAAGGGAAGTAATGTCGATATGACTGCACTTCACAATGCTGCAAACAAGGGTCATCTTGATGTCACCAAATATCTCATAAGCCAAGGAGCTGAGGTGAATAAGGGAGAAAATGGCGGTTGGACTGCATTTCACATTGCTGCAAACAAGGGTCATCTTGATGTCACCAAATATCTCATCAGCCAAGGAGCTGAGGTGAATAAAGGAGATAATGTCGGTATGACTGCATTACACATTGCTGCTTTCAATGGTCACCTTGATGTCACCAAATATCTCATCAGCCAAGGAGCTGAGGTGAATAGGGGAGATAATGAAGGTTCGACTGCATTACATGTTGCTGCTTTTAATGGTCACCTTGATGTCACCAAATATCTCATTAGCCAAGAAGCTGAGGTTAATAAGGGAAATAACCTGGGTAGGACTCCATTTCACATGGCTGCACAACAGGGTCATCTTGATGTCACCAAATATCTCATCAGCCAAGAAGCTGAGGTGAATAAGGGAGATAATGTCGGTATTACTGCACTTCACATTGCTGCAAACAAGGGTCATCTTGATGTCACCAAATATATAATCAGTCAAGGAGCTGAGGTGAATAAGGGAGGAAATGTCGGTGCGACTGCATTACACATTGCTGCAAACATGGGTCACCTTGATGTCACCAAATATCTCATCAGCCAAGGAGCTGAGGTGAATAGGGGAAGTAATGACGGTAGGACTGCATCACACGATGCTGCTTCCAATGGTCATCTTGATGTCACCAAATATCTCATCAGTCAAGGAGCTGAGGTGAATAAGAGAGATAATGACGGTATAACTTCATTACGCGTTGCTGCTTTCAATGGTCATTTTGATGTCGTGAAACATCTCATCAGCCAAGGAGCTGAGGTGAACAAGGGAAATACTGCCGGTAGGACTGCATTACGCGACGCTGCTTTCAATGATCCTGTTGATGTCATCAAAAATCTCATCAGTCAAGGAGCTGAGGTCAAGAACCTCGCGAGTGATACGGGTTTGTTTTTAAAATTAAAATTATTTTTTATATTCGATTGCGAAGCAGCAAACCACGAATGAATTTAAAAGGACTTGGCAACGTTGTTCATATAAGTGAAAATGGTGCTAAGGAAGTGACCATAATGTTAGATGTACAGTCATTAAATCTGATATTCTGAGTGAAATCCGACGTTAAAAGACGGGAGTTGCTGCTACCTTGTTTGGCGTTCAACAATAAGGGGATAGAGCAACGTCGATCTGGCGCTGCTCAGTGGCTGCCGGGCTCACGATCAATTGGGCAAAATGAATTTCCATTTTCGGTTTAATAAAATTTGGATTGGACTAAAAGATTATTAGGTGGGCTGTATCTAATACAGACCACCTTATAATTTTGTTAAAATTGCCTTTATCAGGTGGGCTGTATATCGTACAGACCACCTTATAATTTCGTTAGAATTGCCTTTATTTATTTATTATTAAATATTTTTCTTATTTCTAACCACTTTTTTGTGAACAAGATAACACAAAAATGGCTCGATCAAAATCCTTGAAATTAAGCACATATAAGTAAAAACATATGAACAAAGGACAGAAATGTTTTCAACCTTGAACTTGACTGATGACGTCATCTAGGCGCCATTTTGTAAAATTTTACGAAAATCAACTCATGATCATATCTTCATAACCAAAAGGTAATTCTCATTCATATTTATCATGATTAAGGTCAATATCCGTCCGGTTAATTTCAGCTCAAATAATGCGCGCGTGCGCGTACGTCCGCGCGTCAATGCGCGCGCAAAATTTTGAATTGCTCAAAATCGTCTCAAAATCATTTTGCATACGTTTTAGGCCATTCTAAGCATTTTATAAAAAATCGCGCACACGCTCATGCGCGCGCGTTTTCGCGCGTAAAACTATTACATAACATAGAATCGCCATTTTTTTTTCTTTTATGATATTCCACATATATTTACAAACAAATTGATACCATGTTTGTCTCTTTATGACTATTAATAACGGAATGATCGACCGTTTAACATAAATCTCGGTGCGCGCGAGCTCTTGTAATACATAGCATATATGGGCAAAAACATGCCTATACAAAATCCATTGTAGCTCTTTAGGATACAAGGTGACCCCAATTTGTTTTCATAATTTGATAGAGTATGATTCGGAGATATTGTTTCATGTCACATTTGACCTTCAATTAACTCATGACGTCATTATAATGGCCTCCGAACTCAAAATTTCAATTTGCATATTATGACGTCAGCATATTTATGGAAAATTGATTGTATCTCTGTAAATAGTGATTGATTTTCTTCTAAATTTTAAAATGTTCTAGCTGAGACAATTTTCTACAAATGAAGTCGTAACAATTATTAATTTTGACAAAAGCATCATGGCGTATTTTTGTGATTAAAGGAGGCATGTCAATTTTCACATTTTGCGTGTATTCTCTATGGGACATGATTTTTTCTCAAAACTCGATTCTACATTCCCGTCTTTCGCGAGCAATATCTACGTCGTTTTAGCTTCATTTACGCTGAACTTCGAGTATGTTGTAGCTGAGACAAAAAACTACTCAAATGTACCCTTTATTTTGTCTCAATTTTTTGTTGGATCAGCCCACCTATACTTGTTCCAAACAAGTATTACAAATCTAGTTTATTTTTCTTATTTCGACCCACTTTTTTGTGAACAAGATAACTTCAAAATGGTTCTATCAAATACCTTGTAATTTGGCACACATATGTATAGGCATTAGAACAAAACACAGAAAATTGTTCAACCTTGACCTTGACTGATGACGTCATCTAGGCGCCATTTTGTGAAATTTTCTGAAAAAACACTCATGATCATATCTTCATAACCGAAAGTTATTTCTCATTCATATTTATCATGATCAAGGTCAATATCCGTCCGGTCAATTTCAGGTCAAAAAACGCGCGCGTGCGCGTACGTCCGCGCGTCATTGCGCGCGCAAAATTTCAAAATGCTCAAAATCGTCTCAAATATTTTTTGCATACGTTTCAGGTCATTTTAAGCATTTTATAAAAAAACGCGCACACGCGCATGCGCGCGCGTTTTCGCGCGTAACACCATTACATAACATAGAATCGCCATTTTTTTTTCTTTCATGATATTTCTCATATTTTTTCGAGGAATTTGATACCATGTTTATCTCTTTATGTCCATTAATAACAAGATGAGCGTCAATTCAAGAAAAATGCCCGTGCGCGCGAGCTCTTTTAATACATAGCATATATGGGCAAAAACATGTCTATACAAAATCCATTATAGCTCTTTGGAATGCACCGGGATCCTCAATTTTTTTTCATATTTAGATAGAGTATGAGTCGGAGATATGATTTCATGTCTCATTTGGCCATTAAGTGTATCGTGACATCATCACAATGGCCTTGGAACTCAAAATACGAATTTGCATATTATGACGTCAGCATATTTATGGAAAATTGATTGTATCTCTGTAAATATTGATCAATTTTCTTCAAAATTTCAATATGTTGTAGCTAAGACAATTCTCTACATGCTTAATAATAAGCATTTTTCATTTTGATGACGTCATCATAGTGAAAATCTCGATTAAAGGCCTCATGTCAAAAGGCCTTCATAATTTGCGTTATCCCTATAGAAGGTGAATTTCATTCACGTCATGAAACTACATGATATTGTTTTTTAAGAATTTTTAAGCAGTATCTCGCTTATTTTTGCTCTTTTTTGTCTCAAATTTAAGTTGACCAGCCCACCTATACTTGTTCCAAACAAGTATTATATGTCTAGTTATTATTATTATCATTATTATTATTATTGATTTTCTTTTGGGAAAAAACTGATCTGATCGATTCCTAAATTCTCCTAACTATATAATTATAATGAAATTAAATTTCATGTGAATGTAAATCGTCACAAAGCAATGAAATGGCTTTAAATACCATTCAAAACATTTGAAGTGTTCAGAGATTTTTCAAGCTTTTTTTTTTTTTTATCTCTTATGGAAAAACAGTTGGGATAATTCAAAAATTTGTTTGGTGGATTTACTGTTAGAGGGAGTTACACATTGACGCATTCAAATAAAAATCTTTGTGGTTTGGAATTTGTCCAGGATGTTTTGCATGTTAGAGCGTTAGAACAGTAAAAGGAATATAATAAGTTATATTTCATTAAAAAAAAGGTAGGCAGTTTTTCACCAACCTTCAACATCGTTACCGGTTCACTTTAAAGTAGATTGTGTTTGCTTTCCAACAGCCTATTTTTTAACATCGGGATAAGCTTAATGGACAGGGGTCGCATGACAGGCGGGGTCTTCACAGACCTGCGCAAGGCTTTCGACTCTGTATATCGTAAAATACTGTTAGGAAAGCTATTTAAAGATGAAGTTGAGTTCTGGTCACGCAATTGCATTGTGAAAGAAACGGTGTGAAATCGATCAGAAAAGGTTGATCATCTAGCATATAAGTATTTGTGTGTATCAAAATGATAAGAAATTTGCCCAAGTCTTGGTAAAGTTACAAGCACTGTACACAAACAGATGTATATGGGACTACACGAACACGTGGCGTAACAATTCGTCCCGATTTTTACGATGTTACATGCCATATTTAGAATATGACGGCATTTGAAGAGCCATGCTTTTTAGGGAACATGTTTTATCTGATGTTCTTTCACACTTGCATAATAACAATAATAACGCTCACAAATATTTTTTACCTCTTCCCAGAACTCAATCTTCTCTTTAAGTACGGTATACTGGGTCAAGAAATTAATTGGTTCATGTAATACTTGAGTGATCGGAAACAAAAAGTTGTACTTGGAAAATTTGAAGCAGATTGGGGTACTACTTTGTCAGGCGTACCACAAGGCGCCAATTTTATAGGCCCGCTATTGTGGTAGTATCCAAATGCCAAGCGATGTTATATCCAGCCGATGCTGTACTGTTTCATAGTAATCAAAGAAGTGAGGACATTAAATTGGCCTTGAACTTTAATTTAAAACTAGTTTATGAGTGGGTAAAAGAAAACAATCTGGCATTAAACCACACAAAACTGAATTTATGTTATTTGGTTCACAAATGAAATTGACTAAACTTGAAAAATCTATTTGCATTCAACTCGAGCAACACCAAATCTTTCTGGTTTATACCTATAAATACTTAGGAGTCTGGCTAGATCTAACATGAGCTGGAAAGAACACGTGACAAAAACAAGTAAAAAGATAGGGTCAAAGATAGCGTTACTTGGTCGTCCAAAAAGATACCTTATCCTTTGGAGGGATTGAAGCTTCTTGCCAATGCATTAATTTTGCCTTTATTTGAATATTGGTGTAATACATGGTCTAATTGTTCACAAAATGTCCGAGATGTAATCAAACAAAAGAGAATGCGCCATCATTTTCTTCATTTCCTTTTTTTGTTGGCGTTATAATAATTTAAATTATTGAACTGGTCCATTGTGTTGTTTTTGTTTCTTTTCTTTTGTTCGAAAATGTTGTAACTGAATTCATTTTTTTCTTCGATTTGGATTGTTTACACCAATATGGTTTTTGTATTTATGTTGTAGGCCTCCACGGAAAACAGTATTTAACTACTGATGGAGCCACACTTCTAAAAAAAGACTAATAAATAAAATGAATAAATAAAATCAATTATAAATATTATTAGCGCGAATTAACGTCGTTGAAGGTACTTGAGAAGTAGCTGTTATTGTAAACATGTCCAAAAAATTAAACACAACTTCGCGTATGATACGGGTCTGCCTTTAAGAATGAAATTTATTTCAAATGCGAATGCGAAGCAGCAAAGCATGAATGAATCTAAAGTAGATTGTTTTTGCTTTCCAACAGCCTATTTTAACATCGGACAACGTATTTATAAATATTATTAGCGGGAAATAACGTAAGAGGGACTTTAAAAGAAGTTATGGTTGTAAACATCTGAAACTTAAAGAAGTAGTGTGAAGCATCAAGTTAGCAACGTTCATAGAATTGTTTTGCTATCTGTGTTACTTATGGATGTTTTCATTTACTGTACCCCTTCTTTCTGACCTATCTGACACAATTCATTCTGACCCACTTTTTTCCCCATTCATTTTCTACACAAAGGCATTTTCATGAGACAGATTCTGTGATTGGCTTTTTGCTTAGTGAATATTCATGACATGAGCGGGGCAATCTTCATTTTTCTCGAAAGCATAATTGCTTAAGGGGCTAAATTTTCTAGTGCTTATAATACATCCTCAGGGACATCCAAATATGGATCGCGATCCGGCAATTTTCAAAATTTATAAAAAAAATTGTATTATCTTTAATATTATCTTTTCACATTTCCCAAAAGCAGGTGGGTTGACAGGACTAGATTTCCCTCGAAAAATAGAAGCAGCGCAAGGGCCCTCAGAAGGACAGACACGGGAGCCTACAGCAACCATTGACCAACCTCTTATAGGTGACAAGTCCTCCAAGAACGAAGGTAATGTGGCAAGTGGAGGTAAAACAATTGTCGGCTTATTCAAATATTTTTATTTATTTATTTATTTTATTTATTTCTAATCTTTTGACAGGGTAGCCCATTCACCAACAAGTAGTGGTCTTCCATGGGGCCCTGAATAATCATGAACATATTTACATCGTTTATAACGCTTATACAAAACAGTTTAAAAAAAATAATACTCATTTGCAAAATAAACATACATCATTAACCTAGTAAACAGTAATGTCAATAGGAAAATATTGATTAAGTCGCAATTATGTGAATAATTCATGTTAATATTACAGAACATGCACGTAGTATATGTTCGGCTGAGCCATTCACATATTACAACTTTGTTTAAAAAATCTCTTAAATGAATTGACAGAGGAAGCCGTTCTCAACGAATTATTTAGCTTATTCCATTCAAATATGGAAGAAACAATTGGGCTACACTTATAACAATCAGTGTGAAATCTAGACACACGTAAACATCCACTGTATATTTGCCTTGTATGATGCTCATGTACATCATTAGGATTGATTAAGCCTACCTGAAGGTAAGAAGGTGCTAAGTTATGAACGCATTTATATATCATCATAACGCGACTTAACTCAAACCGCTTGTCTAGTGTCATCCATTTAAGACTTGTGAACAAATCAGCCGACGGTGTGTCAAATGTCTTGTTCAATATTATTATTGCGGCCCTCTTTTGAATTTTTTGCAGCTTAGTTGTATGAGAATGAAATCTGTTCGACCATACAACAGAGCAGTAATCTAATCGTGGCAACACTAGAATGTTATAAAGTAACTGCAAGGATTTTTGAGGCAAAAAACTCTTTGCTCTCTTTATCATGCTAATGTTTTTCTAGGTAAGTTTACTTACGTTTTCGATTTGTTTAGACCAATTCAATTCTTCATCTATCAAAAGTCCTACGCATTTGGTGAATTGAACTCTTTTGATCAAATTGCCATTTAATGAAATGGTGAAAGATTCAATTTCCTTGAGATTAGCACGAGAGCCTATTAACATGACACAAGTTTTGTCAGTGTTAAGAACAAGACGATTTTCCTGAATCCATGCCATGACTCTGTTTAATGCAACAGTTAATTTTTCTTCCACAATAGTTGCATCATTTGCACTGACGGTAAGTGTCGTATCATCAGCATACATATCTATGATACCTTCAGGAGTACATTCAGGTACACTATTAACATATATTGAACATAAAAGGGGACCAAGAATTGAACCTTGTGGCACACCTAATTTGATGGTTGATGGATGCGACTTGGCTCCTTTGAATTGGGTCACTTGTTGTCGATCCCCTAAATATGATTTGAACCAATAAAAAGTCCTATTACTACAACCTATGCAGGCTAGTTTATGTAGAAGTAGCTCAAAGATCTATGAAGGCAACTCCAGAAACTTCTTTGTAATCAATATTAAACGACCATTGATTTAAATATGATATGCGTTGCTATTCAATGAAACAGTTTTCGATAGAGAACTTCAAAAAAAGTACGTACAGATGGCATTGTATCGTCAAAATGCGTTGTTATGTTGAAAGTATGATCGATTTTATGAAAACAGGAAAAATAGACACAGTGCTGAGGCATCAGCAGATAATGTTCTGCTCCTTTACCTAATTAAGGCTATACACGATTTCGCCGTCAAAAAATTACCCATTATTTAATTGAGCCGTGGGCACGAAGGAATGAGGAAGAGAGCTAAGCGGAAGAATAACGGAGGCCCAAAATGGATCCATTTCCCTAGATAAAGATTGACGACGAAAGTTTCAGAGGTATATTGTATGGAGAAGGAATTAAAAACTTTAGTTAGATACTAAATGGCTTTAGACAAGGAAATTACGCATTTTCCCTCAAAACATTAGATGACCTGCATACAAGCATTTAGCAAACCTGCAACAGCCGGTCTAAAAGTTTGTTTTGCCAGGTCCATAATTATATTATTTTTATTCCTTTATTGCAACCAAAACAGATACGAACAAATACATAACAATGGTAACAATAATGTACACGATGAAACCGTACAGTATGATACATGAAATATATGACTAACAATGTTAACTCGTGATACAATATTGCCTCATGATTGTGGCACACGCACTCACTGCACCTTCAATTGTTTAGGTGTGCGCATATGGATGTGATTGGTCTGAGGATGAAGGTTGTAGTAATGAGTAGGATTGTGATAACGATGGTGATTATGATGACAGTGATGGTGATACCTCAGTCACATCAATGCGACCGACACCAGACCGATGACAAACCGAACAATCGATGACATTACACCCAATATCTAAAAATAGGTCGGTTTGGAGTCAGTCTTTAGAAATGTCTGCCGGTGTGACAGAGGTATGATGGTGGTAGTGGTAGTGGTGATGATGTTGACTGTGTTGGCGATGATGGTATTGGTGGTGGTGAATATGATGATAATGATGATAATGGTGGCAATGATTGATTATGGGGATGTTTTTGGTGATGATGGTGATGGTGATCATTGTACGAATCTTGAAAACGTGCTGGTCAAGTAGATTATACAATCTTTTACAGATGAGAAAAATAACAAAGTTTGTACATCCTACCAACTTTTATTTTTCAGTTGGCATGAAAGTCCACTGGGATTTTTTGACAGACATTCCTCAAGAACTTACCCTTCAAGATAATGAAGTAGTAATATCATGCGGCATCAGATTCTCGCCTTCTGGAGCCAAGCTCAGCGAAACTATCAAGGTCACATTGGATCATAATGCACATTTCACCAATCCAAGACGTGCAGAGATCGTCTTCTACACCCGCAACAAAGGTATGGGGCAATTACCATGGGGACCTGACAAAAGCTCTCGCGACAACAATTGTTCCGGACTTTATTCCTTTAAGTTATAGGCAGATGGGTAGGGTAGCGATTGAGTTCCAGGTTAGGTCTAGGGTTGGGGATATGGTTAGGGTTAGGTTTTGTGTTAATTCCATGGTTAAAGTTAAGGATTCGTGTAGTGTAGGAAATTATTAAAGCGGAGCAAATGTCGCAAGAGCAGGTATCATAACATTAACCGCAGCTCAAATGCCTTTCTTTAATCTAACAAATGAAAAGAATTGACTTAGGAATATAACACTAAATATAATTAAAATTCTCGTTAAAATTCAAAATAGTAACAAATTCATGTCACCTTCAGTTTCCTGAAGCACATGCTCCCTCTTCGCCCCTCCCCCCCCAAAAAAAAATAAATAATAATAATGATGGGAATAGGAAGAAGAAAACCAATTGGCCGATGACCCTTGTTCTACTCCATAGTGAAAGTTAATGCATACATATATCTATATGCTGTCTCTAAATAATTTGATGGATTATATATATATATATATATATATATATATATATATATTGTATATCGATCCACAAATACTATAGCATTTGTCAAAACAAAATCAAACGACGTCCAAGATTCTTGTAGACCGAATATTTAAGTTACCAATTTCGTTGTTATAGACTCAACAACTTTTGTGAGAATTCCCGCATCCAGCGACGGTTGTCCACGTTGTGACGTCAGATCAAAGGACTTGGACCTCTACGTAGATCATTTCAGTGACTGGTGGATTGTGGCCTTAATCATTCGGTACTTCATTGGAAAGAGGGTCGAGTGCACGCCTTATGTACAACCACCTGTTACGAAAGGGTTAACGCACTTAGTGCTACTCTGCATATATGATGATCTCGTTGATGTTATTAAGGTGAGACACAGATAAGGGCGTTTAGCGGCTTGGGCCGTTGTATATAATTTCGGGTGGGGGGGGGGGGGGGGGATGGGTGGTGTGTCGGAACAAATATTCCAGCAAGGGAGTCGAAAATTTACCATCGTGCAATAAAAGGGGGTCCTCAGATTTTCACATTTGCAGCTAGATATTCTACAAGATGAAGTAAAACAAAAAATGAAGTTAGAGAACGAGAAAAAAAAGCAAGTTATCATCTCCCCTTTAAATTTCACTGAAAAGAAGGCTATTTTATGACGTCTGAATTAGTTGCTCTTGGAAGAGGGGGGGGGGGGATAAGGATACGTTTGCCTTTTATGTTACTTAATATGTAGTCTATATCCTAGAACTGTTAAAATAAACATATACACTGTTGGCCATAAAGGTGGAATAATTATTGTTACCCCAATTTATGGAATGATTTTGACAATGATTTATTCCTAATAGATGTAAATAATAGTATTCATTCTCAGATTTAATTGCATACACATTTGCGATTGTTTGTTTTGCGTGACTGCTAAAGCATGTGTGTGCTACTATGCTAATCAACTAGGAGACCTACGTCCTTAAGTCATAACTAACAGTAATGAGGATTAATGCCTCACAAAAGGGCACTAATATAGCCGATCAACACGGTTTTTATTCTGAAGCCTCACAGTGGGAGGCCATTGCTAAGCTACTGAATCATAAGTGTACGCAGCGGGGGCTAGGGTACGTCGCCGCCCCACTAATACAAAAAACAAAGAAAATGCAATAAATTATCAATAATTCATTGCATCCCCCCCCCGGTCCCCAACAGGAAAATTCCACTGTATCGCCATGCATTATGGTTTAAGGCATGCCCACATAGAGGATATGTTTAATGTTGCGGGTCGGGGCAAAATGCTCACAAACTTCAATTTAATAAAATCTGAGAATGTATACTATTATCTAGATCTAGTAGGAATAAGTAATTGTCAAAATCATTCCATAAATTGGGGTACAAATAATTATTCCACCATTATGACCAACAGTGTATATTTGTTTATAGCTATATATATATAGCTTTCTTTCTTTGTTTATATATATATGTATACAAAGAAAGAGAGAGAGAGAGAGAGAAATCGATAGGGGCTGCTTTTTACCATACATTATGTTTTGCTCCAACAGAAAACAAACGACAAAATGAAGAAGTACAGAATGCTCTATCCGCCCCAGCAAATGTTTGTAGAATGGAGGTGCGGCGATATCAATATCGAGTTATTCGACGGCTCAAAGAAAAATGAAAAGAAAATTGGTGAAATGGTATGTTCTGTATTTCAGAGCTAGGGGTGTATGGATAATTACAGGAAATAGGCAATTTTGTTTAATGTAATAACATTTAATTCAAAAGCCTAATGTTTGTTCTACCTAGCAACAATTGAAGTATGCAATTCGCATACTGACTAATGAGATATAATCATTTGTAACAGGTGGATGAAATAGTTTATTACGAGTCACATAACAAAGATTCGTGTATTGAATTTCATAAATTACGAAAATGGACGATGGTAAGGATTTCATTGTACTGTCGATTTTCGTCAATGACTTGTCTTCGTTCCTGTTCTGAATTCTTATTGCATTAACTACTTTCGTAAATGTCTTGTTTATGTTAGCGTTCTGCGTTCTGCATTCTTCTTCTTATTCTGTGTCTGCTCTGAATTTCATGCTCCATAAAAATAGCACTCTCTCAAGTTCTGAAAATAGATTTCTTTCTGTGGCCCCAAATCCATAGTGTTTCGCCAAACGCATACCCTTTTATGGATTTAAATACTTTAAAGTAAGCCCTTTCCAGCCAATTCAAAAAATATATGTCCTATCACTAACCGACTTGCTCTCCCAATTTCGCTCAAAAATTGCGATCTTTATACCGACGTGAATGAAACCTGGTATATGTATGTATTTATTACACTTGAAAGATTACTTGACGTCGTCACACAGTTGTGGCAAAAAAAAGAATGACGACATCGCGAAGTCATCGCCAAAAATGATGAATTTATATGCATGATATATTACAACCGGTTTAAATGATTGCCGTACTTTGAACGCACTTAACAATGGTGTTCAAATGACCGCAATGACATGCATTTCGAATGATACCAAATACGGTATATGTTTCCACGGAAAACTTTAAGTAAATCGCATTTGAACAAGGGTCACAGTACGAATTCCGCTTGGTTTCCATCCAATCATATCTCGTATCGGCTTTCACGTCATTTTTCAGAACTCTTTTGCTTCCTTTCCAATCTTGTTTTTCCTTGAAATTTGCTAACATATTGTGGGTGGCCAAACGCAGGGCATTTTGAAGCCAAATTCTGTAAATATGTCAAAAGGGCCACTCTCTCTCTGTGTTACATAAATACGTTAATACATGCACACACACATCAGCCAACGACACACACAAACACCCTTAAAACAAATGCACATAAAATGCACACCCTTTGTCATTTGCCAACAAAAAGGGGTTTGGTCTGACTTTTCAGTGAATATAAATGGTTCAGAGAAAAGAAATTTGTATAGCGTTAGTGAGTACAATTCAATCATAGTTGTGCTAGGTCAAAACTCAATTCTAATATTGTATACAAAATTGTATTATCTATTTAGAATATTTACTAACCCTTTCGCCTATTTGCATTCATTTGAAACAAACAAATATTGAGTGAAACCTTTTAATATATTTTGTCATAAAACTAAGAAAATGCATTGCAACGGAATTACTCACAGTTCCCCTCTCTATCTCTTTCTCGCCTCCTTATTTTCAATTATATATACCTAGGCATGATTATGCGATTTATATACCATTGCAAAATATGCTTCTTGTTGTTCATTTAAAGTGTGTGGTGATGTTTAGACTTCAGGTTAGGCCTTTCAGGTTTTTTTAATGAGAAAATGAACTTGAATTTCCTTGAATTCATTCTTCTTTTATGACAGATACTAGGTAAAAAGGATATGAACCTCGTTGAAAGTCAACAATTCTCTTTTGAAGTGGAGCCACACGAGTCGGGGGCAAGCCAAAGGTTTCTCGAATTTACCTTGCATCAAACAGAGTCTTCCTGTAAACCCACCCTGATTCATTTCAACTTGTCATATGATGGTACGTATGATGGCAGGACCACAGGCTTCACACTTTGATATGTAATTTGATCTGAAATTCTAAAAGTCCTCTACTTCCTTAGTTTTAAGACAATGTCTCGTGGAACTTGGTTTACGACTGACAAATGTCAATAAAGTACGTGTTCCATTTGAAATAACTTTCGATCCCAGTTTAAATTTGTTTAAACAAAATTAAAGGGTTTCATAAGCTACCCACATGTTATAACACAAATACAATCCTCAACTTTACGGATACTATTAAATGTGAATTTCAACCTCAATTTGAAACTATTGGCGATCAAAATGTTTATCAAAGAAAATATATATTTTGACACGATTACCTTTTAAATGCTATTAATTAGATTATTCTAATGGGATCCTAGGGATAATCAATGTGTATAAATCATACTTTATTTTGGTAGTATGATTAAGAATAAAAGGAAGATCGAAACAAAATTTCTCAAAATTATGACAACCAAAGCGTAATATTTACATACATTTTGCTTTATCATAAATAATCTTCATGAGCATAGAACGAGAAGGAAAACAATCCGCATCAGCATTCGCGTAAAGCCCTTGATAAATAACTGAAAACCGACTATG